AATATTAAAATTGATCTTGTGGTTTTTAAAAAATCTTTAAAAAATATTTTACTAATATATAAAATTTCTTTAAAAAAAATTAATTTTTTTAAAGAAATTTTATATATTAGTAAACCATTTTTTAAAGATTTTTCAAAAACTACAAGGCCAATTTTAATATTTTTACTATTATTAGATATGTCTTGATAAACTTTACAACTTTTGTTAGAAGCCCAAGAGTGATTTATTTAGTAAAAAAAAAGTTTTAAATTAGAGCGCTTCACATTTAACTTAATAGTAAAATTTACTTATAAAAATTTGCAGATCCTCTCTAGATAACAGATATATTGTCTATTAAAGAAATGCTAGTTGACAATAGGCATGCTAAAAAAGTAAAAAAAATATTTAAAAACTCTAACAAATAGATAAAAATCATATTCAATTACAAAACAGAAAAAAAAAAACAATTACCAAAATAGAAAGAAGAACCAAAACTAGTTTAGAATAATCTCAAAAGAAGCATACTATACAAGATGAAGAAAAAAACAACATATACAAGAGCAAGAATATATTTAAAAATAAAAGAAAAAGTAACAAAAGCAAGAAATATAAGAAGCAAAGAGATAAATACAGAAAGAAAGTACTATAGAGTTAGAAGATAAAGAAAAATCAAGCACAGAAGAAAGAGCAAAGGAAACTCAATATATAATACTCTAAGATTTATTTAAAAAATAAACCAACAAAAAATATAGTTTATTTGTAGAATAATAGATAAAATAAAAGAACTACAAATAAAAAATTTTTTAAAAGTACTAGTAATAATTAGAATCAAAAAAAAGCTAGCAAAAAACTTTTATAGATAGTACTAATAAAAGATAAGAAACTTGTGAAAGTCTCAAAGAGTATAAAGACTCAAAAAAATATAATAGTCAAAATATACTAATAGCAAAACTAAGAAAAATTTCAAGAAGCATATCAGAAGTACTATTATTCAATACTGTAATTTGAAAAATAAAAAAGCCAAATCAGTATATATTTCTAACAATAGCAATAGAAAACAAAAAGCAATTATAATTGTAGTATTTAAATACAAAGAAGACAAAAATCAAGCAACTATAAAACCAGTAAGATACAACAACTAGTTATTAAAATAGAAAACTTCATATATAAAAACAGATAGCAATATAAGCAAAGCTAAAAAATTTGATTCAAGAAATAAAGAAGAAAGAATAAATAGTATAAGAAATAAAAAGCAAAAAATATAATAGAAAATATACACAATAAAGAGTAGCTTAAACTTGAAAGAGAAAAAATAACAAAAATAACAAAAGCAAATAATAGTAGCAAAAATAAAGAAATATAAAAAGAAAAAATAAAAAAAAGACAACCTAAAACTATGTAGCATAGAAATAGCTTTAGAAAAAAATATTAAGAAGACTAAAAATTTAGAACAAAATCTAAAAACTAGAAGGAGAGTTATTAGATATTTTTAATAGGTACCAAGATTGAAATCAAGAAAAGGCTAAAAAGGCAGAAAGCTTAGCCCAAAAAAATAGAAGAAGTTATAAAGAAAGAGAAAGAAATATTTCAAGCAAAATATCATAGATATTATCTATTATTAAGAGTAACAGGAAGAAAAAAAGAAGAAGACCAAAATTTTAATATACTAAAGATTAAATTTTATAATATAAATAAAATTAAAATGAAGAAAAATAAAATAAAATCAGGGGTGTGGTGACTTAATAAAGTGGTGAAGTTGTTATACTCCCAAGTAGCATGTTTAGTATTCAAATTCTACTGATAATAAAATTCGAATATTCTGTTATGTATATTACAATTACTATCTTGATGAGTTGAATTGCTAGTCTGTTACCAAGGTTGTACCAAGTATTACCAAATACCTGAAAGGAAGATAAGATATTTGCGTAATATATAAGTTATATAACGATATATATGCTAGTATTATTTAGTACAAATCTACAATAAGTTCTAAGAAGCTATATAAAGCTAAGAACTAAAAAAATAAATATCTATTTGAGAAGTCTCAAAAAAAAATAGTACAAGCTTTTAATAGTACTACTAGAAGGATCAAATATAGTATAGGTTATTTCTTTTAAAAAACTATTAAACTTACTAATTTTATATGGTTATTTTATTGTATCTATATTATAATTAATATTTTAATTAATATTAAAAGACTAATTTAATAAATTATATTATAATATATAGTAATTAATTTAAAGATTTTATTAAGAAGTAAGCTATACTATATTTGATTTCAATAGTAGATAGGTTAGTAGATTCTTGAATTTAATAGTAGTAAATTAGTAGATTTTTAAATTTAATAGCAGATATGTGCATTAGTAAATTAAATAATGAGTTTAGTAATTTAATAATAAATAATTTCATATACAAAAAAACTGTTTTTTTGTTTATTTTTTTATTTTTTGTTATTTTTAACTAATATTTTTTTTTTGGATATTAAAGTCTTTACAATATTTATTTTTTAAAATTTTTGCAAAATATATAAGTGATTCATAGTTCTTTTTTGTTTCTTTTTCATTTTTTTAACTAATATTTCTTTTTTCTTCTAAACATTATTGTCTTTGTTTTCAAAGTCTTTTGTATAAGTAGTTCATAATTTTAACAACAAGTAATTAATAATTTTAACTAGATTATTAATTTTATAAACAGATGGATTTGTGTTTTTTTATATTTATTTTTAATTAATATTTTTTTTTTAGATTGTTGAAGCTAGCTAGTTTTATAATAACTTATTTCTTTCTTTATAGATATTTTTTGTTTAAAAATAGTTACTGAATATAAAATAGAACCAAGATATTTTTAGGATAAGTTGTTTTTATTTTTTGTTAGTTTTTCTTTTTTAGTTAACAGAATTTTTTTTATTTAGAATTGATAATTAAAATATTAAGGTTTATTAAAGCTATTATAATTAGAGTTGATAAAGTTATTTTGCTTTTTTTAATCTTGTATTTTATTTTTTTTACTATATTTTTTTTCTAGATATTGGTATCACTATAATTGGAATTATTAGTTATTATTATTATTAATACTAATGGAGTTGGTGAAATTTTTTTGAAGTTTAATTTTGTCTATAAGAATTTTAGTTTTTTTTGTAATAATATGATTTTGTTATTATATTTGTGATATATTTTTTTCTATTATTATATTTGTATTATATTTCATTATTATTTTTTAACTAAAATTAATAAATTTTAAATATATAATAGATAATTAAAATTGATTATATAAATTATATACCAATCAATTATACATAATCAGATATATATTCATGTGATCTATTTTGTTATAGTGACAAGTAACTCTAAAATAATATTTTTTATTTAATATTAAATAATTTTGAAGCATTTTTTACTCATTTATTTATTTATAAAAATATGCATTAATTTAGAACAACTATGAGCATTAGTTTGAAGCTATATATACTATTTTAGAAATATCTGATTTTTGAATTAACACTTCTAGATATTATTTTCACTTATACAGTAGATATTTATATAATATATAAGTTATATAAAATTATATAAACTAGTATTAGCCAATACAAACTTATAATAAATTTTGATAACTATATAAACTCAAAGAATCAAAAGATGAATATTTGCTTAACAAGTTTTAAGTAAAAAGATAGTACAGACTTTTAGCAATACTATTAAGATGGAATATATCTAAAGTTAATATATCTAAATGAGAATTAGGTATTTGATAAAAGTACTTTACCAACCAGATTGCCAAAGTATCAACTAGAGAAAAAAATCTACAAAGTAGATATTAGAAGACTAGTATTTTTTCTGAACCATCTAAATTGGTAGTTTAGAAAACTAACTAGAATAATACTAAAAATAAAAAATACTAGATAGACTTGAAGAGAAATACTGGAGTTTATAAATAAACTCTACAAAGACAGAAGTAAGTAATAGTAGCAGAGGTTAAAAGATCAACTACAAGTATTTGTCTTTAAACTCAGTATAAGTTACTAAAACCTAGATTAACTAGATTATAGATATGGAAAGTTTTAACAGATTTATCCTCAAAAATAAAAAACTCTTTAAAATAATTGAACTTGCTTTAAAATTCTAAGCTATGTGTCTGAAAATAAGAGAGTACTAATACTTTCACTCAGTTATAAGAAAATCTCATAGATGTAGAAATAACCTCCTAATCAGATTATAGATATAACATCTGGTATAAACCTTAGTAATAAGCAAACTACTTAAATAGGCAATTAAAAGTTGTATATATAACTAATATGTGCCCTTCAAATATGTATATAATATGTTATAACATACTGTAAAGTTAACTTATAATTAAATAAGAGAAGACAACCAAGAGTTTATCTTAACACCAAAAAAAAATTTAATAAAATTAATTTAAATTTTTCAAATTTTAAAATTTATATATTTGCAAGCAGCAGGTCTAAATTTAAAATAAACCAGGCTAGACCAGCAAAAAATGTTTAATATTAAATGCGGGCTTGGCTGGGCCATAAAAATTGCCAATTTGCAGACCTCTACACTAAATTTCAAATGAGAATTTTCAAAATAAAAAAAAAACTATAAGCCTTGTTTTAATTAACTGTGTCCCATATAACTTTATTAAATTCGAATTAACTAAAAAAAATAAACTTTGTAACTTTGTTCTTTAGGTTTGATATTATTATTTTACAAAAAGATAACTACATTAGTTTTCTATTTATAAGCTTTTAAAAATCATGTATTTTATACGTTGATTTAAGGATGTCTACACTGTAGTCAATTAGTTAACTATATCGATATAGTTTATCATTATTATTCAATTATCCGATTAGTCGATTAGTCGACTAGTTGATTCGTCGATTATTCGATTAGTCGACTAATATTCGATTAATCGATTAATGACTTTATGATCCCTATCCTTATCTTTAAATATAAAAAATATAAATAAAATTTTATTTGTTTTTGGTTTAGTCAGTATAATAATACGTATTACATAACTTATATTTATACCATTTCTATATTAATCTTATAATTATATCATGTGATTAAAATTTTATGTTTAATTAAATTTATAATAAATAGTTTTTTATTTGTTTTTTATTAAAAAATTTACATTTAAAACATGTTTTAAAACATGTTTTAAAACACTTGCCATCCCTACCTGTTAGCAGAGCCGAGCCAGTCGTTCGCGTCTCTGCTAATATAATTTAATTTTTCCATAACCTAAAAAGATATATATAACAAATAAATTATTTTGATCAAAAATATTTTATAAAAAGATATTTCTTACCTCTTCCAACTTTCGTTTTTTCTCTTGTAATTCCAAATGTTTCCGTATTTTTGGATTCTCTTTTGAAAATGATAAGATTTGATTTTTATTCATACCATATACAAGCAGATTATCTACTTCTCTTGGAAATTGGAAAAAGAATTCATTTAATAATTCAACTTGGATGAACATCACAGCAGTATAAGAAAGTTTTTCGGCGACCATATTTAAAAATGCTTCAGGACAATATTGTTTATTTTCAGGGGATTTACATTGTCGTGATTTGAGAGCAGCTAAACGGTATTTTAATATCATGGATCGATCTCGCAAAAATATTGCTTCTAGAGCTTTTTCAATCACTTTCGGGTTGAAATGTAAACGATGACGATCAGAGTCATTATCTTCCATGATATCATTGATTATAATAGAATGAGGTTTGGTGTTTGTAGTAGTATCGTTTCCGTTATCAACAACGATATTGCCTTCTCCAGAATCACGAGCATGAGCCTGTGCACGTTTTGCTTCTCTTTCAGCATCAATTACATATTTAATTGCGGCTCTAAGTTTCTTTTTTCCTATAGTATCTTTGATAAGTTGTAATGCTTTATTACAACTTTCCAATTCTTTTTCAAGAAGAGATATTGTCCTTTTCAAGCCCTCAGTCCATTCTTGTTCACTACATTCAACTTCATGTTTATATGGCTTTACACAATTTTCAACTTGATCTGAAGTTGTATGAAATTTGTTTCGTAAAATTTCGTTGCTAAGACTTAATAGCTTACTGCTTATTTCAGGATGATTATTT